AATACTGTAAGTATTTGAATATTGCACTGCATTGTATTCTTGTTTGCATGATTTCTGATGAAAAGTCACTATAATTCTATCCTTGATCCTCAGTCTGTACAGAACCTTTTCTTATTAAGGAAGGCATGCTGTAGGCTGATGCTTTAGAACAAAAATGTATTATCACTACTTCTTTAAGTGTCTGAAAATTCTACTGGAAAACTTTCTGATATTGCAAAAAAATTAATAAAATTTTCAAGAAAATGCTCCCAAACACAGACTAACGTAAAAATCAAATTAAACCTATCCCAAGATAATATTTGTCATACATAATGAAATATCATGTTTTGAGAATGTTCAAATTTCATTTAATCATCGATGTTGTAATAAGAGAACATCCTAATGTTTAACTATCTCAAATAAACAGCTATGAATTTTCAAATAAATAAAATTTTACATTTTATGCATAGTGATGTTTTATCTGAGATTTAGTTTGCAGGAGGAAAAAACCCAAAATTTATTTGGAGAAAAAAATCCTTTCATATTAAAAATCACTGGTGCAGAGAAAGGTAATAAAAGACTGGTAAAAGATGGGTAAAATGAAAACTAATGGGAAGAAATAAATAATAGCACAGTTCAGTATTTCTTACTTCATAAATATGGTATGCAAGAAGAAATAAGATTTCAATCTGGGAAGTGTTTCCATTGGGGAGAAGTGAGAAAATGTTCTGGAGACAAAATATTCAATTCAAGTTTTTCCATATCAAGTTTGAAATTATTCAGCCGAAAATCCAGCTGGCGGAAAGCTATGTGATTTTTTACTTCAGGAGTCAGGTGAAATTGCTCTTACAGATATGGGAAGATCAGCACAAAGATGCTAGTTTTGGGAAGAAAAAAGACGTCTAGGGGAAGAAACTAGAGAAAGAAGACCATCTTTGTAGGGCACCAAATGGTGCAAGAAATAAATAACAAGAGCATCCATAAAATTTTATTATATATTTCAAAGTTACTGGAAGAGTCTGAGAGATCCCAACACAAGGAAATTATAAATATTTGAGGAGCTAGAGATGTTAACTACCCTGAGTCTTTCATTACACATTATATACATAATCAACTTATTATGTTTTACCCCATAAATGTGTACAAATATTATTTGTCAATTAATTTTTAAGGTGATTTGGAATAACCCAGCAAACCAAAAGTTTAGATAAAATTCTAATAGAGCATTATTTATGCAAGCACCTTTAACTTATGAAAAGGGAAACTTTCGAAAGACAAAACACTACTAATCCTCCATTCTTGAGTGCTTCCCCTTGTGTATTCTTCCTCTTGGGTCCTGCTCACTAGGTTCCAAAATGGGGTACGTTCTTTCTTGAACTTCATGAGCTAATGAGAAGCACAGGTAGTTTTATTTTGAAGGTAGTCTGTGGTTGGCTGAATCCTAAAAGTGTCAATAATCTTCATCTTTGTCTAATTCCCTCCTTTAGAGGTGCATAAAA